CACTCCCAATTGGGTGGTTTTTTTTTTTTTCCTGAGATCCCCTGATGCCTAGAAAAAACTAAAGCTCATGACTGCAAAGCCTGAGAGAAGATTCTTTTAAAATCTAAGTAACAGACGCAGAGAGAAGCAGAAATGGAGGAGGTTGGGCCAGGCCTGGCACCGGTTCCCACCGGCTCTGTGCTGGGGACCGGGCACGCAGGCCCTGGGGACTCTTGACGTTTGGAGCTTGAAGGGTCAGGAACCAACAACTCAGCGACCCTGGACTGCCCCTTTGTCGCTAATTCCAGACTTGAGCCGAGAACAATGGTCTTCCCGGCACGCAGGCTCACACCCACACGGGCGCGCTTGGAAGACAGCTCAGACATGGCTGGGGTCCGGCTGTCCTGGGGCCGGAGCGTGCAGCACCGTGGAGGGGTGGACGGGTTAAGGCAGGGCCATTGGGAACCTGGGGTTCTTCCACGCCCTCTCCCCCGACAGAAGCCCCTCAGGACCCCGAGGGCGGGTGGGGTGCGCACCAAGGGCCGGGTCGAGTGGAACCTAAGAGAAGCAGAGACACCCACCACATCGGTGCTCACCATTTGTTCCCGCATGGGAGCACTGTGACATGAGCTGCAGAAGCTCAGTGAGCTCCAAGCTCCTGGTGGCTCTGGCTGGGTCTGCCCCTGTCAAGTTTTCCTCTTTTCCCTCCTGGCTGTGCTGGGGAGTGACCCCTGGGGGGCTTGGCGCAGGCGTGAGGCCCACCCTAGCCCCACCCCAAGCCCCTACAGTTTCCTCCCAAAAAAACTCGAGGCTTGGCACTTGTTTGATCCTTCATGAAAACGCCCACAAGATAAACACCAGCAGCTCCCCCCCCCCTGCAGGGGTGAGCCTGGGAGGGTCTGTCCGGTGGGGCCCTTTGGAAACGGCCAGCAGTGCCTGGACGCACCATCCCCTTCATGGGCCACTGCTGGCCCGGCTGTCAGCGATTCTTCTTCCTCTTGCCTCCTCTGCCCGGGCTGGAAGGTGATGAATAAACAGATTCTCTGCCCTCTTGGAAAGAACCGGGGTTTCGCCACTTCCTGTATCTCGACTCATCTCACTCCCAGCCCCGAGGCTGGCTTCCAGAGAGAGATGGGGAGCCGTGAGCACCCGACGGCTTCCCCGGGGAGGAGAGAGGCCAAGTGGGCTCATGGCCACACCCCACTCGCCAGTGCAATGTGCCCAGCGGATTTTCCGGTTATTCGGGGGAGGGGGGGCTTGGGGCCACACCCAGGAGTGCTGAGGACCCTACAGTGGGTGCTGGGGGGTCGACCCACACCCCCAGCATGCAAAGTGTGTGCTGGGCCCAAGGGCTCCCCCCACCCACATTTATTCTTTAACTTACTCTGGGGCAGATGCAGTTGTCAAACCTGAGCTGGTTCCAGACAGATCAGACAGACCAGCCCGGGCCAGGGGCTGGCGCAGCAAACTCCCAGCAGCATCTCTTGAGAAGATCCCCACTTGGTGGACGAACCCTGAGCTCGACCACAAATACGTGCCCGGGCTCCCGTGTCTGCCCTGGGTGCTCTGGTGCTTTGGGCCCACACCTAACAGTGCTCAGGGCTGACTCCTGGCTCTGTGCTCAGGGATCACTCCTGGTGGGGACCGGGTGGGGTGCCAGGGATGGAATGAACCTGAGTCGGTCACATGCTAAGTGAGTCCCCACCCCCAGCCCTGGTGTGATGAATCTGGGGTCCCCACACCTGCGTTTCCAACAGACTTTGGCTGGCCCCAAGCAGGCAGCGCAGGACCCCACCTGTGGAACCGCCCTGGCCCCCCACCCCACTGGCCCCCTCGGGCAAGCAGCCCCTAATGTTGCTTAGTTTTTGTTTCGTGGTGGGGGAGGCCCACCTGGCAGTGCTCAGGGCACCCGCCTGGTGCTGCAACTCAGGGATCCCTCCTGGTGGTGCTCGGGGGCCATGAGGGGTGCCGGACACTGAAGGCAGCTGGCCGCGTGCCAGGCAAACGCCCTCCGCTGGTGCCATCACTCTGGCCCCAGTAGTTAACCCTTTTGGGAATGGGGCCTCACACCGAGCGGTGCTCTGGGGACCAACCATATGGGCCGGGAGAGGCTGGGGTGACCCTGTGCAGGGGCGGCCCCTGGGGGAGAGTGGAAAAGGGACGGCCTGACCCGCACGCGCTCCACGTCACACCCCGTGAGGGTGGCCACGCAACAAGTCACCCCGAACAGTATTGTTTTTTTCTTTTTGGGTCACACCCAGCGACGCACTGGGATCACTCCTGGCAGTGCTCGGGGGACCATATGGGATGCTGGGAATCGAACCCGGGTCGGCCATGTGCAAGGCAAGCGCCCTACCCTCTGTGCTATCTCTCCAGCCCCCCAGTGTTCTCAAGACTGAAACCCAATCATGGACAGCCTTATAACTCAGTGATTAAAAATAAACGACAAAAAGGGTATGGATAGACAAGATTTAAACCCCTCAACTTTTGATCTTTTCAGCTTTACGTATTTTTTTATTTCCTTTGCTTGGGTCACACCTGGTGGTGCTCGGGGGACAGTATGGGATACCGAGGATCTAGCCCGGGTCAGTCGTGTGCAAGAGAGACAGACGACCAGAGACAGTACAGCAGGGAGGGCACTCAGCTTGCGTGCTGCCCACCAGAACCTCCCATGGACCCCCGAGTTGCCAAGAATGATCCTGAACACTGAGCCAAGCGTAAGCCCTGAGCACTGCTGGGTGGGGCACCAACAAGCCTCCCCCAATTGTCCCTGAGGGCCGAAGAGAGGGTGGGAGCATCCAGGCTCAACCCCCAGCGGCCCAGATGGTCCCTGAGCCCACCGGAGTGAGGCCTGAGCACTAGCGGGTGTGACCCCGTCCCCACCAAAACAAATCTGGAGAGATCAGTTTTGAGGCAGGGGCCACAGCCACCACTGACCGGCGAGATCACCCTGCCCTGGAGCCCCGGAGCCTCTCACGTCACACTGCCGAGACCCTTGTCCCCACGCGCCTGTAGCGGGATCGGCCAGGCCCGCAGCATCTGGACGACCTCCCGCCGGCCACCGGGACCCTCCCTCCCAGGAACGGAAGGTGGCAGGCCGCAGTTTACTTTCCATTTATTCACATTTCGTGGGTTATTACACACCCTCTGTGGGGTCACGCAGCAATGAACACACACGGCTGTGAGCGCTCTGGCGCGGTCTGACAATTCAAGTATTTCTGCTTTAGGAAACCATTTCTGATTGAAAATAGAAAGCAAACAATTTACCCTTTTGGCTGCTAAGACTGGCGTCGCTCCCTGTCGCTGTGTCGCCCCAAACACGGAGGGCTTGGTCCTGCCCAGCAGGGCGAGGCCGGAACTCGGGGGGCTCCACAGCGTCCCCGGGGTCCAAGCCGACCGTCCAGTTTCTCGGGAACAGTCTCGCCTGTGGCCCAGAATGCAGAGCCCAGGCCGGCTGGTCCGACCGGCCGCCAACAAGCCGGCCCGTGTCCTCCTGGCCCGGGCAGGCAGGCATTTTTGGCGTGCAGCATATCAAAAATAGGATTTAAAATCGCATTTGTAAACCAGTCATCCTTTGAGAGAGAAGCATCAATGGTCAGCCCTGCCCTTCTGGGTGGGGGGGGAGGAAGAGCAGGGACGCCGGGCCAGACACCTGTGGCCAGCCCGGGCGTCTCCTCCTGGCGACAGGACAGGGCGAGGCGCTCGTCTTCCTGGGAATGCTCGGAGCGATGAGGGCGACCTCTCCCGACGGCCGCCGGGACCCTCCAGCCACGCGACCTGACCCGGGTGGGAGACGGACCTCCCGAGAGGCCACACGCCCCCAGTCCCGGCAGACTCTCGCGATGCGCGTTTCGGTCCGCACTCAATATATTAAAATTTCTCATCTTTTGTTAAAAATAAATCTGAGTCCCCGGGGGCAGAATAAAGCTGTTAACACAGTGGAGGAAGTTAAGCCCTTTGTGGCCCCGGACGGCCCCCCCGCCCCCCTCCCAAGTAAAAGCCACACGCACACGCGCGCCCCTCCCGCCGGCCGGCCGTGCCTGGGACCCCGCCAGCTGGCTCTGCCCCGGGAAAGCAGGACCGTGGGCGCCGTCCACCACGCGCCTGCTGGGGGTCCCGGGCACCCACCCGCCCGCCCCACGCGGCGGAAGCTCAGCTGAGCACTGGCTGGACTGCGTTACTTCAAGTTCTGGAGAATCAACATGTGATCAAAGACAGTCGTCCCCCCCCCGCCCCCACCAAGTTCATTTAAAATAAAAGTGTATTTTTTTTTTTAAAAAAAGCAACTCTACTACCTGCGACGATCTGCCCGGCCTTTCCTAAGAGGGCACCAAGCTCTGAAGGACAGAACACGTACGCCCCGGGCACCGCCCTGAGTCCCCAGCGCGCTGGGCGGCCGGGGGACAGGGCGGATGAGGAAGGGGGGGCACGGGCCCAGGGGGCTGGCTCAGAGGGCGGCGGCCCTGGCGCTGCATGGGGGGGGAGCCCGGCACAACCCCGACATGGGTGGGGGTGAGACCCCAACACCGCTCGGGAAGACGGCCAAAATCAACATGAATTCCATTCGAACATGATCCACGTGCCCAGTCCCCGAAGAACACGAGTGGACAGAACTCGGATGACGACCCTGGGGAAGGGCCCGGGACGGCGCCTGGCGCCAGGCCGCGGGACACGTCGCTCAGTGTTGGCCCCAGCAAACGGAAACAGAACCAAAGGCAGCGGCGACACCCCCCACGGCCTTATTGCGTTTCTCCTGGCGAAGGAAGTCGCACGGCTCACGGGGAAGAAGCTCAGGCTCGTTCACCGAGTGAGTGACGCGGGGCCCGAGGCGGCTTCCTGCGGCAGGACGGGGACGGGACTCGGCGTCTTTCTGGAACTACGAGCGTGTGGTCAGCGGTCACCGAGCTCCGAGTGGCCGCCGCCTCCTGGGCAGTCAGCAGCAGCTCCGGGACACAGCGACAGACCGAGAACGAGTCGCGCCCTTCCTCTGAGAACCCAGCAAGCGCGGGTCCCCGCGGGGCAGCCGGCTGGCCGCAGGAGGAGGCGGCCAGTCTCTCACGGCAAGACCAGCCGCCACCACGCACGGCTCAGCTTTGAAAACAATGAGGAAAGCGAAGGAAGAGTCGGCGTGAAGGCGGCGAGGGGCCCGGGCACGTTCCGGTATATTCCAGCACATTCTTTCCGGTCCGGCGTGGTCCGAGTCCCAGAAGGCAGCAGGCCCCACAGCCCCGGGGGCGGGAAGCCCTGGGGGACCCTAATTATATACCCTGATTCGGTCCATTAAGAGATCACTTGCGGTCAGTTTGATCGACGGGCATCGGAAGTCTTCCTCCAAATTCGGCTCCGTCGCGCCGTACGCGGTCGAGAGTTCTCAAGAAGGCAGAGCACAGTTCCTTGACACTTCACAGGAAAGGTTTTATTGGCCAGATCAATCTTCCTCCCAAAAGTCTTAAGTGACCCCAATGTCCTCGAGCAGGGCGGGCGGGCAGGCGGCCGGCCAGCCTAGGAGCCGCGCTTGTCCAGCAGGATGGCGTGCAGCTCGTCGGCGTCCTCGCTGGTCTTCACGCGGACGAGCAGGGTGGCGGGGGCGCTGGGGTTCTTCTCGTCCAGGGGCGGGTTGGGCACGCACACGATCAGCACGTTGTTCCGGCCCGTGCGCGTGCAGGGCATGTTGGGCGGGATGAGGACGTTCAGCAGGATGTTGCCTGCGGCCAGCAGAGACCAGGCCTCAGCCACGTCCTGGAGGAGCCCCCCCAGCCCGGCCCTCCTAGCCCCCTGCCCGGCACTGGTCCAGCCGCGAGGCCGGGCCCACAGCAGCGTGCTCACCGCGAGTGTCTGTGACACACGAGGTTCTAGAAAATCATCTGCTCCAGGGGCTGGAGCCATGGCACAGCGGGGAGGGCGTCTGCCCTGCACGCAGCCGACCCAGGTTCGATTCCCAGCATCCCATAGGGTCCCCCGAGCACCTCCAGGAGTTTTTCCTGAGTGCATGAGCCAGGAATAAGCTCTGTGCATCACAGGTGTGACCCAAAAAGCAAAAAAAAAAAAAAAAAAAAATCATCTGCTCCCTCTGGGTTCTACAGAACCACTCAGCTGCTGCATGCAGAGTGAAAACCCTCTGGTCTCGCCGCCCCTGGCCTCACGCTCCCCAGCTGCTGTTTCGTCGGGGGTCCGGCCTGTCCCGACCCCCACGCCGGGAGCCCTGGAACACAGGAGCAGCCCCGGCCCGGTGCTCACGCCCCCCACCGGCACTCACCGAGGTTGGTGTCTGCCCGCACCAGCAGCTGCGTCTTCTGGCTGGCCGTGGGTTTTAGATGCAGGGTGCCCACGCCCTTCTCCTTAAACTCGTTGTCTTTCTTGTAAAATAGTTTGCACCTGCGGGGAGGCAGCGGCGCTCTGAGCCCCACGGGCAGAGACTCGGCGTCCGGCTGCTCCCCACAAACCCCCGAAGGCCCAGGACAGGCCTGGGGGCCAACAGGGAAATCTGCCTGGGAACTCAGCCAGCAGCAGCACCCACCCGGGGGTTCTATGGGTGCCGGGAGTGAGCCCAGGTCGGCGGATGCGAGGCAGACACCATCCGCTGCCCCGGCCCCCAGCTCGGCGCCTTCTCCCAGCTTGGTGAGGCCCTTCCTGGGTCAGCCCAGGTCGCTCTGCGCCATCCCCACCTGCCCCTCGGGCCCGGGAGGACATTTCCTCGGCACGGGGCCAACCGGGCTCAACCCGCAGAACCACGCTAGGGTCCCTCCAGCCCTCCGTGAGTGCTCCTTGAGCACAAAGCCGGGAGTAAGTCGTGAACCCCACAAGGTGTATCCCCCAAAGCAGCGCCGACGCCGGAAGGTCCTGGCACGGGACCTGCCTCCACAGCTGCAAGAAGAAGCCGGGGCCGGGCAGGATGGCGGGGGGCAGGGAGAGAGAAAGGCTGGACGCAAGGAGCAGGCAAAGGCTCGCTTTGGGCAGCAGCAGCGGCTTGGCCCGGGATGAGGCCGCCCTGGGCAGCGTGGCCACCGCCCGCCCCCCACTGGGACCCGCACTCACTTCTTGGAGTAAAAGGCGTCTTCTTCCTTGACTTCCGTCACGGTGACCTTGGGCGGCTCGTCGCTGTCCTCATCCTCTGTGCCTGTCCAGGAAACACAGTGAGACTCCCGCCCGTGCCCTCAGCCCTCAGCCCACAGGAAGTGGACACGAGCTGCGGACGTTTCCTTTCAGGTTCTTCTGGCTCGGGGGTCCCACCTGGCCGTGCTCGGGGCCTGCTCCTGAGGGCGCAGGATCCCCTGCAGGAGGGCATGACCCAGCCCCTGCGGTGAGCGCGGGTGCCAGGCCCAGGTTGACCCGGCACGACCCCACCCACCCCCAAACACAATGAAGGTGCGTTAGCACAAAGCGCGCACGCGCGTGTGCGCGTGCGTGTGTGTGTGTGTGTGTGTGTGTGTGATGACGGGGGCGAAGGGAACAGCCAGGGGCCGTCTACACGGACCACCCGCTGTGAAAGGACACCCCCACCCCACCCACCCCCCATTCACGTGGCCGGACATGTGCCAAGGAAGCCGCCACAGAAGACAAGAAACAAAGGAACGTTTTTTGGGACGTCCCAGAACCGAGGTGGGTGTGTGCAGGGCCACGCCCTCCCACCCCCGTGCAGACCCCCAGCCCAGGGCACGGGGCCACGTCCGTCACCTTTGCTGTCTTTGCTGTCGCTGCCCTCCGTGGGGCCCTCCGACGACGCCTTCGAGGGCAACAGAGACTCCGCCGCCGCTTTACTTGGGGGCGCGTCTTTGCCGAACAAGCCGGAGTTTCCGGAAGAAAAGGAGAATCCGGCCAGGGGGGAGGAGCTCAGCGAGCCCAGCACGGAGCTGTCGAGCTTCTGGCCGAACTGGAAGGTGGCGGCGGGGGCCGCGGGCTCCCCCTTCTTCTCGGGCGGCGCCTCCGCCTTCTCGGCGGTGTCCTCCGCGGCGCTGCCGGGGAACGAGAAGGTGGCCGCGGGCTGCGGCTTGGGGGTGCCGGGGCCCGGGGGCGCCTCTGAGCCCCCCGACTCCTTGGCCGCCTCGTCCCCGGCCCGGCTCCCGGCCCCGCTGCCGTGGCGCCGCTCGATGCTGGCCAGGTGCTCCCCGTAGTCCCTGAAGATGGGCGTCAGGTCGCACAGCGGGTTCGAGTCCACGTGCTTCACGATCCAGTCGCGCACGCAGCGGTTCAGGGCGGCCAGCTGCTTGTGGTAGGGGCTCCCGGGGCCGCCCCCGTTGGTCCTGGGACCAGGGCTCTTCCCGTCCAGCCGCGAGGCGGGGCCGTTGGCAGCAGCAGGTCCTGCGGGCGCTGGGCGGGGGGAGTCGACCCACGTTGGCCCAAATCGTCGGGAGTTCTACACCCCCACCTTCCCATCTTCTACTTGTCAGATCCCAGGTTTGGGGACATTCGAGAAGTGCTCCCCTCCCAAGTCAGACCAAACTCTGCACAGGAGCCGCATCGCTGTAAAGTCCACAGCACGTGCACGTAATTTTCTTTCGGTGGGGGGGGGCAGGGGGTCCACACCCGGCCATGCTCAGGGCTTACTCCTGGCTGTGCTCAGGACCACTCCTGACGGCGCCTGAGGGACTATGTGGGGTGCCGGGGACTGAACCAGGGCTGGAGGCACGCAAGGCCAACGCCCTCCCCGCTGGACTAGCTCTTCGGAAAAGGCCTGTGACCGTAAAATAATTCTTTCCTTTAAGGGGCTGGAGCAATAGCACAGCGGGGAGGGCGCTTGCCTTGCACGCGGCCGACCCGGGTTCGATTCCCAGCATCCCACAGGGTCCCCCGAGCACCGCCAGGAGTAACTCCTGGGTGCTAAATTCAGGAGTAACCCTTGAACATCGCTAGGTGTGACCCAAAAAGCAAAAACAAATAAATAAAATGCCCAAAAATAGCACAGCGGGTAGGGCGTTCGCCTTACACGCGGCCAACATGGCCGACCCGAGTTCGACTCCTCCGCCCCTCTCGGAGAGCCCGGCAAGCTACCGAGAGTATTCGATATGCCAGACACAGTAACAACAAAGTCTCCAATGGAGACGTTACTGGGCCCGCTCGAGCAAATCGACGATCAACGGGAGGGCCTTTACCTTTACCTTACCCAAAAATAAAAATAATAAAAATAAGAGGGTGACTTTTTCACACAACACTGAAAATACCGCTTTAGTATAAAATAATCCCCAAGACTGTGGAGGTGAACATGTCAACGGAGTTTCCATCTTCAGGGAAAGTGATTAACTCAATCAGCTACACTCACAGACACACTCATACACACACACCAACGGGAAGGAAGCAGTGCTAGGGGCGGGGCCGGGGTCTCCCGGGCTCCTCGCGTTCACTCCTCGCCCACTTTTACAACAGGTTAATGGGGACTCGCTAAGACCCTGGCCTACTTTGCCCTCACAGGTGAACTGAGGGTCATTCTGGTTTCACCAGGGGGCACAGGGGTGAAGGCCTTGGTCACAGCACAGGTGGTCATCAGAGAGCTGAGTCCACTTTGGCCCCAAGCCCGTGCCCTGATGACAGACAGACAGACAGACAGACAAACACACACACACACACACACACACACACACACACACAGGTCCTGTGCTTGAGTGACCTCCACACACAGCTGCGAGTGGCCCAAGGACCACCGGGTGTCCCCCCTACACAGAAATGCCACCACCTCCAAGGTGCTTGGCGGCACTGCCTACCACAGCCCCCCCCCCCCGGCGTGGAGCGGGGGGGCCCTCACCTGGGGCGGCCTTGGGGGTGCTGCAGAGGGGCAGGGAGCTGGTGGCGCTGGTCCCATTCGCGAGTCCTTCCAAGGGCTTCATGGCAGCGCCGAAGCCGGAGAAGCCCCCTCCAGAGGGGGCCACCAGGCCTTTGAAGCCTTTGAAGGCACCGCCACTGTCAGGCTGGAATCAGAAAGAAGGCGCGTCGGGGACTCAACTCTCCGTTGGCAGAGGCGGGAGAGCCGGCGCCAGCGCAACCTCGGCTCCGAGCACCAGAATCCCGGGCCCCGCACAGAGCAGCAGGCCGGGGGATGGGGGGACACGCGCCCCAGCTCAGGCAAGCGACGGGGCGACACTCACCTCAAGCCCAGTGTTCCTCCGCTTCGCTTTCTTTATGGCTCTATTCTTCAAGACTTCCTCGCTGGCCACCGAGAAGGTCCCCACCTGAGAGGCACGTGGGGACAGCAGTGAGGCCAGGGAGGAGGCCCCGCGGACCACAGATCGAACACGCACGGCTGGAAGTTAAAACCCGTAACGCCAACAGGGAAGGAAGCGCGGTCACACTCGGCTGGCCTGGCGGGCTCGTGGTTCCCCAACGCCAGCTAGCACAGACAGGCCAGGGACCTCCCGGGGTCCACAGGGCCAGCAGGGGTCAGGCTCTAGACAGGGGTGGCGGGGGCGGGCCCTGAGTAACAGGCTAGCCACGCCCGATCTTTCAAACACTCCAGACAGATTTAAATATACTAGGAAGATTTACCACAAAGACTCAGTTTTCCGTAAGCAGATGAACGGATTCTCCCAAAACTGATCCAGGATCTCAAAAGATCATACCCTTGTTGGTAATGGATCTGGTTTTGGAAACTCTTCTTACCATCATCTGAAAACAACGGCTATAACCCCTATGATGCCCACATCACCGTCATCAGTAGCGTGTGGCTCTGTGGCCAGGGACAGACCCAAGGTGGCTATTCTCTGTCCCGGGCCCTCCAGCCTCCGACCCTGCAGTGGAGTGAAGTCCCTCCTCCAACAGTCACTCAGTCACTCCAGACCCAACGATGATACCCAAGAGATCTCTGCGTCCGTCCGTCCATCCGTCCGTCCGTCAGGAGCCGCCTGACTCACAGGGCCCAGCCTGGTCCCGGAGGTCCGACTCTCCTTCTAGGAAACCTTTTACTTCCTGAAGCATTTTATCGTCGAAGCAGATCGGGATGACAGTCTGATCTCATGAGGCCTCAAATCTTTAAAGTCCAAAAGTAACCAAGCGCAGGCCTGACACGTGTGAGCCGTGGGTTCCGTTCCCCGGCACCACCGACAGATCAACGGATGAAAGAGCCCCGCGACAAGGCCAGGAGCTGTTACAGGGGTTGAGGGCATCGAGGCACCCCACAGGGTCCCCCGGGCACCACCACGGAGATCCCCAAGCAGATCAAGAGTGAGCTCTGAGGAGCTGGAGCAATAGCACGACGGGCAGGGCGTTTGCCTCACACGCGGCTGACCCGGGTTTGATTCCCAGCGTCCCATTTAGTCGCCTGAGCACCGCCAGGGGTGATCCCTGAGTGCAGAGTCAAGAGTAACCCCTGGGCATCGCCGGGTGTGACCCAAAAAGAAGAAGAAAAAAAAAAAAAAACATGATCCCTGAACACCGCTGGGTGTGGCCCCAAATCAAAATCCAAACAACAAAATAACAAGCGCCTAGGGCCCGAGTAAGAATACAGTGGGTAAGGGGTTCGCCCTGCACGCGGCCAACCCAGGTATGATCCCTGCCATCCATGAGGGTCCCCTGAGCCCAACAAGGCTGATGAGGGCCGATTCTTGAGTGCAGAGCCAGGAGGAATCCCTGAGCATCACCGGGTGTGTGTGGTCCCCAAGCCCTGTCCAAACCCTGACTTTCTTCAGGAAGATCAACTTTCCCATCAAGAAAGGCCCGAGGCCAATCTAAACTCTACTCCCGTTAGAGACCCAGCGGAGGATGATGATGGCAGCGTCTGAGGGTCCTGGAGGTGGCCGCCCACTACTGGAGGCACGGGGGACCGTACAGGGTGCCAAGACGGAGCCGGGCACAGGGACTGGCCATCGTGCACCGCCCCCCTCCCCAGCCCTGGGCGTTTGCTTCTCGAGCGGATGCTGGCAGTGACTGGGTCACAGGCCCCCCACCGTCAGGACAACACCCCGAGTTCACGTATATAATAAAGCTCCAAGGTGCTTCAACCCCGCAGCAGAGCAGGGAGGACGTCGGTGCCAGGGAGTCTCGGTGCCCCCAGTCCATTTCCACACGGAGATCAGAAACCACGATGTCCCGGGAGAGACGCTCGCGAAAGGTCTTTGATTTCAGCACGAGGTCCCCAAAGCCCCAAGATGAATTCAAACCTATCACCGGCAGGAACTCATTCTCGGGGAAGCAAAAATTTACCTCTTCTGCTTCATCTTCTTGATCCCAATTCCGATCTGTCAATTCTTTCTCAGCAATTCTTTTGGCCATTTTGGGGGATCTACGTGAACCGTGAGAAATAAAAAAAAGGAACCAAGTCAACTTTTGTACCTCAATACAGGATGTCCGCGACCTTCTGATTCACCCTGGCACAGGTGGGGTCTGCCTCCCTGAGGGCAGAGGAGGGCTGGGGTGAGGGCTCAGTGCTCCGGGGACTTTGTGGGTGCCAGCGATCAGACCCGGATCCCCTGCGTGAGGCAAGCTCGGAGCCAGACAGGCCACCCGGGGATCCAGCACCCTGCCTGATCCCCAAGGTCTGTGATCCCTGAGCACAGAGCCAGGACTAAGTCCTGAGCACCTCCAGGGAAAGTCCCAAGTGAATAAAAACCTTAATTTCACACAACATAAAGAGAAAAATATCCTGTCAGGGGGAAAAAATGCTGTGAATAACTCTTTCTGCACAAGTTCTAGACAATAACGTGAAAGAAATACCCAGAATAATGACTCAGGCTTGAAGAAGAACTTCAGGGGCCAAGGATGCAGGTGAGTCATCCGGCCTGCGAAAAAAGGTCAAAGATTTGGCCAAACCCATCTTTTATGTCAAAGCATAAGATGAAGTAGAAGTTTTGCAATGAAAAAAAAAAAAAATAACATGTGGTTCCTAAGATAAGGCCCAGCCCCGGGAGCCCGGCCATGCAGGACGCAGAGAGGCCCCCACCAACGCAGGGTGGGTTCCAGGCCTGAAAAGACAGCCCAGAACCCCCACGGAGCAAGGTACAGGGCCCTGCGTGTCCCCAGAGGAAAAGAACGGGGGCAGGGAGGGCAGGAAAGGGGGTCAACGAGACCCCGGGCCAGGCACAACCCCCCTGGCAGCAGCCATAAGCCGGGAGGGAACCCCACTCGGGACCACCACTCCAGGCTCCCAGCGCCAGGCAGCTCCTCCCAGGCCCCTGTCCCCACACCCCAGGGTCCTCTCCCACAGCCTGGGTCCTCAACTGGGCTCTTCTGGCAGGGTTCCCCTCCAGCTGCTGAGGCCCAGGGTTCCCCTGTCTCGGCTGGTCCCTTCCGGGACTCCCCCGACCCAGCTGATCCCTCCGGGGGTCCCCAGGACCCAGCTGATCCCTCCGAAGGTCCTCCGGACCCAGCTGATCCCTCTTGGGGTCTCCCCCATCCCGGCTGGTCCCTCCGGGTCCCCCCCATCCCTCCCGGGGTCTCCCTCAACCCAGCTGGTCCCTCCCGGTGTCCCCCTGGCCCAGCTGATCCCTCCCGGGGTCCCCCCGACCCAGCTGATTCCTCTTGGGGTCTCCCCCATCCCGGCTGGTCCCTCCGGGTCCCCCCATCCCTCCTGGGGTCTCCCTCGACCCATCTGACCCCTCTTGGGGTCTCCCCCATCCCGGCTGGTCCCTCCCGGTGTCCCCCGACCCAGCTGATCACTACCAGGGTCCCCCAGACCCAGCTGATCCCTCCGAAGGTCCCCCCGCCCCCCAACCCAGCTGATCCCTCCGGGGGTTCCCCTGACCCAGCTGGTCCCTCTTGGGGTCTCCCCCGTCCCGGCTCATCCCTCCCAGGGTCTCCCTCGACCCAGCTGATCCCTCCCGGGGTCTCCCCCATCCCGGCTGGTCCCTCCCGGGGTCCCCCCGACCCAGCTGATCACTACCAGGGTCCCCCAGACTCAGCTGATCCCTCCCGGGGTCCCCCCGACCCAGCTGATCACTACCAGGGTCCCCCCGGCCCAGCTGATCCCTCCTGGGGTCTCCCCCATCCCGGCTGGTCCCTCCGGGGGTCCCCGCGACCCAGCTGATCCCTCCCGGGGTCCCCCCGACCCAGCTGATCCCTCCTGGGGTCCCCCCCCATCCCGGCTGGTCCCTCCGGGGGTCCCCGCGACCCAGCTGATCACTCCCAGGGTCGCCCCCGTCCCGGCTCACCCCTCCCGGGGTCCCCCGACCCGGCCGGTCCCTCCCGGGGTCCCCCCAAAGCCCGGCCGCCCCTCCCGGCTCCCCTCACCGGCCGGCGGCGGCTCTCGCGAGACCCTGGGGCGGCGCCGGGCGGCTCCGAGATCGCGGCGGCGGCGGGCGGCGCGGGCGCTTCCGGGGCGCGGGGCTCGGCGGGGGACGCGGTGGCCGGCAGAGCCCGAGCGGCCAACAGCATGACCCCGCGGGCCGGGGTCCGAGTCGGGCGGGCGGGGCCGTGCGCTCAGCCCGAGGCCGCCGGCCGACGCGGCGCCCGCGCGCTCGGGGCCGCCATCTTGGAGCTGGGCTCTCGCCGCGGCCGCGAGGGAAGAAAACGCCCGCGCGCCGCCACTGCGCAGGCGCGCCGGGGCCCGGCCCCGCGGCCCCGCCCACCGCGGCCCGCGGCGCATGCGCGCGGCGGCCGGGCCACCCCCCCCCCCCCCGCCGCTGCCGGAACCGCGCAGGCGCGCGCGCGCAGGCGCACTCCGGCCCGCGGCGGGAACTGACGCGCGGGGGTCACGTGCCGGCAGCGGCGGGCGCGGCGGGCGCGCTTTGGGGCTCGGAGCGCTCGGGGCGGGGGGCGGGGCCGGAGAGGCGCGAGGGACCCCCGCAGCGGCCAGCCCGCACTGCGAGTCGCTGGCCTGAGCCCTGGGGGGCCCGAGCCGAGGCCCTGAGCCCTGGGGGGGTCGCACCGGGCCGGCAGCGCCCGGACAAAGGCCGGCCCGCACGTTAATGGTTAATGTTTCCCTTTCTCGGGTGTTCAGGCCCCACCCGGCTGGTCAGTGGTCAGTGGACGGCCCGGCTGTGCCCAGGGCTCGCCCCTGCCGGGCCCCGGGACCCCAGCGCGGTGCTGGGCGTCGAACCCGGGTCGGCCGGGTGCAAGGCAACTCTGCCCGCTGTGCTGTCCTTCCAGCCCCCAGCATGTGTCCTTGGGGGGCGACGGGGTCTGGCCACCTGGGGATGCTCAGTGCTCCCTTCCTCCTGGCCCTGCTGAGGGGTCCCTCCTGGCGTGGCAGGGGCATGGGGGACCTGACTGGCGTCAGCCGACCTCCTGCAGGCCCTCACTTGAGTCCTTTCTTGGGTGGATGGGCGCCAGGGACATTGCATGTGTTGGGAAATGTCACTGCTGTTCCGGTCACCCTGGGCCAGTTCCTGGGTGTCAGGAGCACCCCGTGCTGCTCCCGTAGGACCCGCACCCTGACCTCTGTCTGTGCCTCTGGTCCCTTACACTGTGTCCCCAGTGAGGTCAGCAAGCCGGCTAGCAGTTCCGAGTGCTCTGCCAGCTCGTGGTCAGTGGTCAGCAGGCGTCAGAAAGTTAGGAAGGGGCTGGAGGGATAGCACAGCGGGCAGGGCGTTTGCCTTGCACGCGGCCGACCCGGGTTCGATTCCCAGCATCCCATATGGTCCCCTGAGCACTGCCAGGGGTAACTCCTGAGTGCAGAGCCAGGAGTAACCCCTGTGCATCTCCGGGTCTGACCCAAAAAGCCAAAAAAAAAAAAAGTTAGGAAGGACAATGAGCTCCGGACTTCAGGGACCCCATCTTTACCTTCCTCCTGGCCTGGGAGCAGGAAGGGAAACCGGTTGTTCCAAGGGGCAGATGTGACCCCTTAACAAGCACAGTTCCTGAACTGTTCCGCCCGCTGAATCACCACCCCCCCAGCCATGCTTGCCCCCGTAACTGCAGGCCAACTGTTCCCCAGAACCGCCAGCCAACCTCACCATTCAGGAGCCTTTTTGTTTTGGGGTCACACCCAGCAATGCTCAGGTTCCTCCTGGCTCTGCTCTCAGGAATCAGCCCCGACGGTGCTCGGGGGACCCATGGGATGCAAGGGCAGTGCCCAAGCCTCGGTAGAACTGCTTCTGCATCATGTTAGGAGACTTCTCACAAAGTCCTCACACTTTCAGCTCATTGGGGCCCAGAGGCTGTAGCATCTGTTCCGTAGCTGACATTGTGACATCGTGCGGAATTCAAGCCCATGGGCAAGGTCAAGTTGGAGCCGGGGGAGGTGTGGCTGGCGGCCACCAGTGGCTGCTCTGACCTCCAGCTGTCCCTGCTAGCCTTTCCGAGTCTCGGCCACCCACTTCCCACAGAGTATGGGGATGAAGCCGGTGTCGTGCCCCAAGTTTCAGATCCCCAATCACAGAGAGACCCACGTCCACGCATGATATGGAAAAGCTCTGTTTCACTGTCCTCCCGTTGTTCATCGACTTGCTCGAGCGAACCCAGTAACGTCTCCCTTGTGAGCCTTGTTGTGACTGTGTTTGGCATCTCGAATATGTCACAGGGAGCTTGCCAGGCTTTGCCATGCGGGCAAGATACCCTCAGTAGCTTGCCAGACTCTCCGAGAAGGGCGGCAAAGGAATTCTATTACTAACCCGAGACAGCGCTTGCCCAAGCTGTGGTTCGAGTCTCATCCAACACAGGAGTCTTGACAAGGACCCCCGACTCCGAATCACATGCAGTTTGTGTAGGGTTCAGTCAAGAAGCGGTTTATATGCTGGTCTACTTTTAGCATTGCCCTATTACAACCGTGGTCAGCAACTACACACCAGGTACCAGTAACGGTTTGGGGTTCTTCCCAAGAAGGGTGCAGCGACCTCTCATGACTGGCCAGACCCGACTGCCCAGTTTCTTATGGAGGTGAACGACTCAACTGGGAGTTCACCAGGAACTGCAAGTCCTGCTCTGGGGATGCAGAAACTGAGGCCTAGCTGAGACTCAGTGTTAACTGCGGCTTCTCACAGCTGCTAAGGAAGCTGCTTAGGGCCTCACATCGGGACTTGGCCCGATGCTCCCCAGACCTGGAGCAGGACTTGTGCAACAAACTCCCCCACTTTGCTTTCTCTCCACGCCCACAGGATGTCTGTTTTGATGTGGGGAGTTGTTCAGCCCGGAGGAACCTGGGCTGGTTGCCCAATTCCCCCAGGGCCGGGCCCTGATGCCACTCCCGTTTATCTGAGCAGGCCATCTAAATGTGCACAGCGCGGCCTTTGGGGGGAGATCCGGATACGGGCCGGGAACATTCCTTCCCTTCTCCACCCCAGCCAGGGTGCAGCAACGTGGGTTCGAATTCTGCGGCCAGCTTTGAACTCGCTCTGGGCCGTCTTCGCTGTCTTCCCTCTGCGGTGAAAGCGCGTTCCCCATGTTTTCTCTCGACCTCCGCCCGCCCGCCTGCCTGTGAAGCGTTTCAGAGTCGGCCTCTCCTGGGCCTGACCGTTCTGTCCTGTCCTGCGGGGCTGAGGCTCTCGCGGGCGCCACTGCCCTTCCTGCCGGGGGTTGGAATGAAAGTTTGAGAGTCTCAGAGTTCCACCTGCAGGATGCTAGGAGGTCTTACCTGGGGGGCGGGTTTCTCTGGGACTCGCCATAGAGAACACGGCCCCAGGGTGGGGAGAAAGCATTCCTTAGAACGTCCCCACCCCCCTCAGAGGAGCACTGTGGGCGGAGCCCCAGTGTGAGGCTTCCTCAGCCGGACAGCTCCAAGCAACGAAGTTCCTCTCTTGTTGGAACTCCCTGCCCCCCACCCCCGGACCCGGGAAGCCTTCCCCCCACCCTGGCTTCCTGCTGACCTTTGCTGGTTCTGGCCCTTGGGGAGTTTGGGTGGAAAGTTCCACTTGGGCTGGGGGGGGTCGGCATCTGAGCCCCCTAACCCCAGATCTCCTGCTCAGGGTCCTTGGGGCGCAGGCAAGAGCCCGTCTCCCTGTTCCTGCTTGCAAGTGGGCATGTGGTAATGCCCTTCACTTCCTCACAGGTGCCCGCAGGAGGAGGGTGCTGTGAGCAGGACCCTGGAACCCGGAGAGTGTCCGGCCGGCGGGGGGGGGCCTTCAGCATTACTGGGCGCTGCTCAGGGCCCACCACGGTGACCACCACGGCCCAAGGCCTCCTTCCAGCCCACCACGGTGACTCTGGGGAGAAGCCCCAGGAGACTCCCTGCCCCCGTGGAACTCCAGAAACCCCATGAGGGTCGTTCTCATCCCAAAACAACCACGCCCCCTTCCCCCACCCCACCCCCCGGCCCCTGCCAAGCCCCAACCTCAAGGGCCCCGTCTCCAAGGGGCTGGTCACAACCCCAAGCACCTGCCCCTTTGAGAATAGATGCAACCTAAGTGTTCGCTGAGACCCTCACTGGCATGCACAGGAAGGTGAGCGTGTACAGATATGCCGAGGCCCCTCTTTTGTGACTTTGCTGGGACGGGGTTGTTTGTTTTTTTGTTTGTTTGTTTGGGGGCCACACCTCGCGGTGCTCAGGGATCACCCCTGGCCTCAGACCCTCAGTCCGAGCCACTTGCTCCTGGGCTGCACGGCGCCTCGCTGCCACTAGGTGGCACGGGAGAGCGGTTTGGGTTTGTTTCTGCCCACCAAGGGGCTTTTGTTCCCATCCCTCTTGCCTGGTTCAGGGTGAGGGGGGGAGGGGGGATCCGTTTTTTATGTTCCCGATGGAGGGCCGCATTGCCTTGACAGTATAAATGCTTCTGCGCTTGTCCCGTCTTTGGTAGGCAAAGTCCTCACCAGCCTCCTTGCAAAGGCCCACGGGTCTATCTAGGGGGCTGGTACTGGGGAGGGGGCTGGCCCCGCTGTGTTGGACACAGGTTTGATCCCGGGCATCCCATCCGGCCCCCTGATCGCCCCCAGGAGTGAGCCCTGAGCACTGCCGAGTGTGGCCCCAAAAACAAGAAAGGTGAGGCCGGATGGACAGCACAGCGGGGAGGGCGTTGGCCTTGCAGGCGGCCGACCCGGGTTCGATTCCCAGCATCCCATAGGGTCCCCCCGAGCACCACCAGGAGTCATTCCTGAGTGCAGAGCCAGGAGTGACCCCTGAGCATTGCCGGGTGTGACTCAAAAAGAAAAAGAAAAACAAGCGCGGCGAACTGGAAGGACATTGGCTGGACACCAACAAAAGCCCCACATTTGGGGTCGCAGCGATAGCCCAGCGGGGAGGGCGCCGGCCTTGCACGTGGCCAACCTGGGTTCGATCCTCAGCATCCCATAGGGTTCTCCGAGCTCCACCAGGAGTAGGTTATGAGTGCAGAGCCAGGAGTATTTTCTGAGCATTGCCGGGCGTGACCACCCCTCCAAAAAAAAAAAAAAAAGACCCACATTGGGCTGGAGCAATAGCACAGCAGGGAGGGCGTTTGCCTTGCACGCGGCCAACCCGGGTTCGATTCCCAGAATCCCATAGGGTCCCCCAAGCACCACCAGGAGTCATTCCTGAGTGCAGAGCCAGGAATAATTCCCGAGCATCACCGGGTGTGACCCAAAATAATAATAATAATAATAAAAGACCCACATTTAACTATTTCTCTCAGGCCTGAGCAGGTGTCCGGGTGCTCCTGGCCTCAGTCCCCTACTTG